CGCGAAAATCTTGGACCTTCCTCTGATTAATGAAGCTCAAATTTTCGACTGTCTTTGTTTATTTTTTATTGCTTAGACGGGTGGACGAGCTCACAGCCCACCTGGTGCTAAGTTATTACTGGAGCCCATAGACATCTACGACGTAAATCCGCCACCCACCTTGAGATATCAGTTCTAAGGTCTCAGTATAATTACAACGGCTGCCCCGCCCTTGAAACCGAAACGCATTACTGCTTCACGGCAGAAATAGGCAGGGTGGTGTACCAAACCGCGCGGACTCACAAGAGGTCCTACCACCAGTGATAATTTTTCAATCATTTAGGCATAGTATCAAAATACTGTTGTTAAAATTTAACAAAAGGACTCTGCACAGAAGATACGAGTAGGTATTACAAAAGTATACTGCGAATGTGTCTAAGTACACACCCTTTATCACTCGTTTTTTTGTTGCTCGTTTGCTGTCTATCCCTTCGTTAAGCTTTGTACGTTCAAGGATCGAGAAAAGTTTACCTGATTTTTTAAAGTATTAAATAAATTATTTTATGTTTCAAGTTTATTAATTTCATATGAGAAGATATGTTTAACGTGTAAATTTGATAACTCTATGATTTTGGAACTTGAAGTTGGATCAGTCATGGATCATAATACTATTTCCGTACTTTAAATATAATTTATTCATTGTCGGTTCGGTTGGCGTAGCTCGTATACCTATTTAAAAAAATAAGTGAATAATACGACTAAGTCTTTTTAACTTAGTGGAATCCGCACGTTCGTCATGTCGTGACAAGTTAGTAGGCAGTAGGTATCTACTTAAAAACTTTTGCGTGTATTTACGAAGGCGACGATGTTCAAGTTTAGAGCACAAACATGCACTTATTTTTAACAATTTCAAAAACTTACTTTAATATTCGAATATCGAAGTTCGTATGAAACTTTTATCATCTATGATTGGTAACTAAAATAAGAATGTTTGAAATAAAATTTCGATTAGTAAATTCCTTAATAATAAACAATAACAAAATAATTCACCAGCAGCCAGCCAGAACTAAACAGTAACAAAAAAAAAAACAAAAAATGACAAAAAAAAACTTAAAAACCGGCTTCGTAAGCACGTTCTCGTAACATAATACTGGCCGAAAATAATTTAACAACACTACCTTTTGAGATCAGAGCACATTCTTAAAATCACTAATATCACTGCATTTTTAATTCAACTTGTTTACTATCGGGTATCATTATAGTGTCCAGAACATGCCCGACAGCGGCGAAGACACAACCACAACTAGCAGTTGGTGTTCAGATAAAGTGCCTCAGGTATAATTTTCACGTCTATATTAACCGTACACGTTGAAAAGCCACTTACATTTGAAAGGCGTTTCGTTACTTTGGTATATCCCTCGCTGGTTGGTTTTTATTTAAAAGAACATTGTATTACATCGCCTGGCGTAAGAAAGAGACAGCACAATGACTAAGAACCTTCGCATAGAATGTTTAATTTGCAGAAGGCTCTTTTACAAAGAATATTGTTTAATTTAATGTACGATTTTGTATTATTATGTAATTAACTATATTTATGTACTTGCTTGTATGCGTTATGGTATTGTGTTGTATTGCAATTAAAGAAAAAAAATGTCTATCTAAAATTAAATTTTAGCCTTATAATATTTAATTTTGTTTCAAATATCCATTAATATTTTGATAGAGGCACATTTTAGTAACTCTATTATTATTTAACTATATAAAACTGTTAACACTCTTACAAAATATTATGTCGATTAAAGAGAGTAGAAGCTTTGTGTAGTGATGTTGGTCGATTTTCTGATTACCTGATTTTGCGGTAGGCAGCGGCTTGGCTCTGCCCCTGGCATTGCTGAAGTCCATGGGCGACGGTAACCACTCACCATCAGGTGAGCCGTATGCCTACAAGGGCAATAAAAAAACCTACTACAGGTCCGATTTCATTCCCGGTCGGACTCGTGCCTTTCTAAATTATTTTTGGTATTCTTGGTCTTTACTCTTACAAATTTCCGGCATTTATAACACTGGACAAAATCGTAGATTTTTTTTATGTTTGAGAGATTACTGGTGGCCCGAAGGCCTTTTCAGTTTTACCAGGACAGGTGGGCGAGCAAGGGCTCAGCCATGAAAAATCCTAGTCTGAGAACATTGAACGTGGAATGTCTATATTAAAAAAAAAACTTACGTTACGGACGTTTTTTCTGGTTAGGGTATCCCTCCGCATCGTCCCATAAGGAACATAGTTCCAAAAAAAAAATGCCATAATACTAAATATTCTTTGAAATTAACAACGTCACCGTTTTGAAATGTTAGAAACGCAGCATATTACTGTCTTTGTCTCGCTCGATGTTCATGGCTCAAGGATGCAGTGCACTCTTCAGTTCACTGCTCCCTCTCGCCTTGAAGCCTTACGAGCCTTCCGTTTCGATGCTTCGAACAGATACACCAGCTTCTCTAAGAAAGTTCGAACTGTATTGGTAAGCTTTCTAAATTCTTTGCCACGACAAAAACTTAAGGATATTCTCTTTCATAGACATATCTATGTTTTCTATTATTATTTTTTTAAGAATAACACTTTTTTTTTAAGATTACAGGAACTGGTCACAATTATCATGCTTATTATAAAAAAGTCGTATCACAAATATTGAATATAAATTATAATAAATTTATCATCAAAACATTACTTAGGTTTGCAAAATGTCAACCGTTTATAAAAATGTAAAGAGTCTTCAAATTAACAAAGTTACTCAGCACATTCCCACGCAGACCTGTTCCACCGTACCACAAACAAGATCAAACAAGCCAGAGTATTAAAAACAACACTATAACGATGCGGCGATCAAAGAAAAACTCGAGTCTAAAAAAACCTGATGCATTAAACTAGGAGATGTTAAAGTCTAGATTTTAATTGTGTTGAATTCTCACGGGAATACAGTTAAGTTGGGGGACTCGCAAGTACAGTTTTTTTTTTCAATATGGAAGCTGTTATTGCAAAGAGTTTGCAGATTTAAAATTAATCTATATAGATAAAAATGAATTGCTGTTCGTTAGTCTCGCTAAAACTCGAGAACGGCTGGACCGATTTAGCTAATTTTGGTCTTGAATTATTTGTGGAAGTCCAGAGAAGGTTTAAAAGGTAGATAAATATGAAAATGTTCGGAATTAAATAAAAATAGCAATTTTGTTTTTCCTTTGATGTGTCCCCCGTCGGACGGATTTATTTTGTTTGTTTTAAGTTTATTTTATACAAAAGTGTAGGTCTTTTATTTATCGATTGAGGCACTACGAAGTCTGCCGGGTCAGCTAGTATATAATAATATTAAAACAGAGCAAAAACTACCGGACTTCGCAAAAATATTTAAGATGCAGAAATAGGATGTAGCTGAACAAATCTAGATCAAGAAGGAATTGTTATTTGATGCAACCAACAGGTATGTGAGTAAAAATCTCAGACGGGATCTTCTTATTTTTTCTCAGAACAAGAGCGGTAAATATTCAAAATTATTGTTTCAATACATTTGTCGAAGTTTTACATATTATTTTTCCAAATACTAGTGTTTCCATAAATTTTAATATTGTTATAAGGAGAACACGTTTTTTTCTATTTCATGAAATATTACTACACCGTGCGATAGTTTATTCAGATATAGCATTATAAAATACAGGCCTACAGATCTCGTTGGATCTTCTCAGTGGGTCGCGTATCCGATCCGGTCGTAGATTCTGCGAAGCTCTGCTCTTGCTAGGGCCAGTGTTAGCAACAACCCCGGTTAGAGCCCCGAGCTCACCTACTCGCTTGGTGAATCTAGTATGACCCCTCGAGGTCACTAGAATAGATAGGATAAATAATGCCGGTACCGATTAAAAAAAAGTCAAACGTATTTAACATGTGCTCACAAACGACTTCTATGATAATGGAACAAAAATCAAACTTGCAAAATTTAAAATTAATTTAAAAAAGTGCGAAGTTTATTGTAATAGTGTGTCATATTTAGAATTCAAACGTCCTACCAGCCATCTACCTACTTCTTACCTACTACTCCTATCTACTATCTACTTCAGCCGTTATATGTACAGTACATATTGTGACTGCAACATCGATTGTCTCAAGGTCACAGGAGCTAATTAACACCAGGTGTCCCCTGTACTGATTATAACCTCATTTGCGACTATTCATATTGAGGCATGAGGTCGACGTCTCATTGTTTGTTTAACAGCTGTTCTACTCTTCAAGATGAAACGCAATATTACTATTTCGCGACAGAAAAACGCAGAAAGACTGTTCTTATCACATTAAAAGCTATGTGTAATTGCAAAAATTAAGTGTATTATTTTTAAGTAATATTCAGTTTAGGCACAGAATATTACTTATTATCTTGCCTTATAAGAGACAAGTAAACGTTTACGAAACACAAGGCTATAAAATTATATTATGTTAAAAAAATGCTCTTTGAATATGTGTTATCTGAATTTGGCTCTTTTGGTTGACAAGGTTGCCGACTACTGGGTTAGAGGGATCGCAGTTTTTACAGAGACCTTGCTGCTTAGCAAGGATGGACGGGCGAATTCAATGGCTTAGCGAGGAGCAAAAGGTTTGTTAACAAGCACATTGTTTGTCACATTTAAGCAAGACTTCTTAAAAATATTGTTTTTCCCTTTTTTCTTCTATACGGAAATATTAAGCGTTCACCACACATTACTCGTTGATGAATTGTGAAAACCGTTCTTAGTTAAGGCTTTACAAATTTATTAATGAAAATTTCCGAGACACTTGCAATAAACTTTTTTTTCTGCGTTTTACCTACGTTTTTGTTGTCGTCACAACCATTTTGATACTTGTATCAAATTAGTTTAAGTACTACAGAGCGCAATTTTGAAATGGTCTATGTGATCAAAGAAATGAATTCGTGGAACAAAGATACTGTTTGTCTGTTCATTGATATAACTAAATAAATACACTTCAATACAATAGAACAGCTTACCTGATCCTCGTTGTTGTAGTCAATGATATCGCTCCTGAAAAGGAAACAAAGTTAGAGTATATAACACTGCAAAGTTTGGTTTTTATCTATACGTTATATTTATGACGAAACTCTTAAGTCGTGAAATAGCCTTATCCGTTTGAAGATTGAAGTAAATTTGCGCCCGGAAGCAAATTGTACAACAGAATAAGGAGATATTTCTGTTAAGCTCTAAGAAATGATTTGTGAAAGTATGTTCGTCCCGAGCACTCATTATTCGGGCGTGCCTTTCCTAATTGGGCAAGCATTTTACAAGAACATAAAGCTCATCGTGCAAAAAATATTGTTTGAAAATTAATTGTAATCAGTTAAACTATTAGAATAAACGTTTTTGTGTGATAATATTAAACAGTTATTTATCATTAAACAAAGGGGCGAATCAAAAATATAATTTTTATTTTTATTTACCTGGATCCTATCTTCTTGATCACAGGGCGCTGGGCAGTGCTATCATGAATTCTAACTTGAGTAGGGTCGATTTCTTCGCATACGTCTTCGTCCAGTAGGGTCTGACCAGTTCTTCTGGCCAATATAGAATCCATGAAAGGGCTATATATTTGACCAGAGGTTCCCAGAATGTCATCAATATCAGTGTACCGTGAGATATATCTGTCTACTTTTTGAAAGGCATTTGCAGAACTTCTTCTTCTGCATTGCCGATTATTTTCGTAAGGCGAAGTACGTCCTCTGTAATTTTCATTTTCTCTAGGAGTTTCCAATCCTTCGGGACTTCTTCTATCACCTAAAGGCTCATCGTCTGGTAAATGCAATGGAAACGGAGGTACATGTGAGGGAGGAATGTAAACTTGCACTTCCTCCGAATCTGAAGAATCACTTTCCTGTTGAGGTGGAGGTGTAGGTAGTTTTTCTATACCTTCTGGAATGTTTTTATCACTCGACAACCACCAAGGTCTCTCTCCAGATTCAATATGACGTATTCGTCTCAAAGGAAAGCTTCTGTCAGATCCAGATTTGCTTAAGCTGTGACTTTCAAGTTTATTTCCACTTAAAGAGTTCTCGTTGCTTGTTAACCACCAATCTTTTTGATCTCCTGATTCTATACGACGAACTTTGAAAAAGTTGTACTTCTCATTTTTGTCACTCTCACTAGTCGACTTTCTTGGAGGAGTAAGTCGCTCAATACCTTCTGGTATATTTGCATTACTGTCGAGCCACCAGGGTTTCTCTTCGTCTGCAAGTTTATACTTTTTAAATGCTTGATTGGGATCGGAGCTATCCGTGCTACTCACTTGAACTTGATCTTTTTTGCTATCACTACTAGAATCAAGCCACCATGCTCTCTCTCCCGATTCGACGTGCCGTATCATTTTCGGTATATTTTTGTCAGATGAACTCTGGTGATTATTTCTTGGTGAAAACTTCTTATCCGAATCTGATTCTAGCCATCTACTTCGGTCACCCGAATCAACAGATCTTATAGCTTTTAATCTTACTAAACCATCGTCGTTGGAAGCGATAATATTTTTACTCTTACTAGATTTATCACTCTCCGTTATAAGGTTGGAAACATCTTTGCTGGTTGATTCAGAATTTGAATTTTCTGGCCACCGACTACTATCACAAGAATCACTATGTTTCATTTTAAAAAGATTCGTAACAGGAGCCAAAGCTCTAATTAAAAACGATTTGGCTTCTTCCGCACCATTATTCTGGGTTAAATGTGGTGAAGTCTGTCTACCAGACCGGTCCGTTGGTATAGAGATTTCATCAGCAGATGTTCTAGATAATTCTTGGGTTTTAGAGTGAGTTTTGGAAAGGTTTTCATCTTCACTGACAGATGACTGAGTTGATAGTGTTATACTTGATTCAGGGCTATTACTGTCTCGTGATTTGGAATGTTTTAATTTTGGACCGTTTTGTAAATTATTTGATGAAGTTTTTTGTAGACTTTTATTTGATGCAATAGAAGATTTTTCCATCTGTTCAGCACATAGGTCTGAGTCAGTAGAACTTGCAGATTTACTTCTTCTTTTTATAACTTTTTTTTTGGATATAGAATCCGTTGACGAATCCGTACTTGATTTTCGTATTTTAGGTTTTTTAAGCTTAGTAACTGCATCTGCTTTAGGTGCTTGAGGTGGTAGTTGACTATTTGTTATGGTAATTTCCGGAGATACTAACTCAGGAGCAGACGTTGGACTTTTTGCCCTTTTTAATTTCAGATTAACGTTTATAATAATTTCAGATGTGTCATCACTTTTATTCTGCTCACAAACGGCAACAACGTCTTCACTTGACTCTGGTTGTACTTTGTGACATATATTTTTTTCTTTGTTACTATCTGAATTTGAAGTACTGTTATTGAAATCAGCGGATGTTCTTTCAGTGCTACGGCTTCTACTACTCCTATCATTATAGGAAATACCATTGGAATTTTCTCGTAAGGTTGAGTATTGTGTTGAATACCTACCGGCGTATCCAGTGTAATTATTAGAGCTTGGTGAATAATACGACCAATTTGTTGTACTAGTTCTTGATGCGCTTCCGAATCTACTGGCTCTAGTAGGATCATCTAATCTGTCCGATTGAACTTCTTTGTTACACATTTGCGGCCTATTTTTAATACGTGTAATGGTTTTCTCTATTGTTTTAGCCATGTCAGCTCTTCTACTACGAACATAAGCGGAAGAACCAGGTGGGGTGGGAGAAGTGTGTCTTGTGATCACAGTTAAAGTTTCAATTTCAGTCGGGTTACTGACATTTTGTAAATCATTAAAATGCTCATCTTGCTCATTTTCCTTTTGAGGCTCTCGTATCTCTTCCACCACAATTGTTGGAGATGTTATTTTTTCAACTGCAGTTTTCGGTGCTTCAACATGATGTACTGGCGACACTGATGTTCGTTTTACTGTGGGCGGACTTCTTAGGTAGCTTGTTGATAATCGGCTGGCAATAGCATATCTATTAACAGTAACTTCAGGCTTGGATTCAGTTTTAATGGCAGGTCTTGTATAGCTTGATGTCCGAGGGTATAATTTGTAATTTGACAAGCTGCTGTAGCCTGTAGACTTTTCAGTCTTACTTGGAATGTTTTTATCGAGATCTTTGGGGCTGATATCTCGAGATTTTTCTTTGAAGGTCTTCACTGTCCTTCTGTCTGGACTTAGGTGTCTTGATGGACGAGTGAGACTGTACTTTGACGTTGCCGAAACTGGACTCGCATCGCGACTTTTGTCTCTACTTGTAGTAATTGAGGGTATCGACAATTTGCTGTAATCTTTCTTTTCATATTTTGGTATCGATTTTTCCGGTTTATTGTAGTTAGCGTATCTGCTAGCAATAATTGAAATAGGTGTTTCATCTTTAGAAGAAGAGCGCTCTGAGCCATGGGAAAGAATGGGTATGCTGGACGACTTGTACGATGGAGTGGCATTGATATATTTCGCGGTGACTGTCGTGGGTCGCTCTGTTGATGTACTTGTCGTATTCGTTCTGCCTGTATCTCGACTTCGACCGTACGATGTTGAATCGCTCTGAAAGTTTTAAAACGTCAATATCAATGAATTTGTTTCACAGACTGTTGTATCTGTGAAGGTAAATCTTGTAAGTAATTCTAAATCTATATGATTCGTTCAACGCTGTCATAAATAAAGCTGTAGCTTTCATCGTATTATAAATAGCTCAGAGAACACACCAAGACGTGAGAATAACGTACTTACATACATATGTGGACTTTTTTTATTAAACCTTAGCTATTTGAATATTTATGGTTGAAAAAATGCTGAATTGTGCTGATGTATTTAATTTTTTTCATAATCAATTAATTATTACAGTTATAGTATTTTATGTCTCCGAGAGTTACACGTGCTATGTATAATACATTGATATGCTCATAAGTCAAATATTGCTCGCAATTTAATAAATTCCTCTATTGGAATTTAAATTTATTGTTGGTAACACAATAACCCTAAATATTCAATGATTCATACTTGTGAAGAGCTGCTATACGAAATAATTTCTTACGGATAGCATCCGCATCGCATTTGCATTATAGGGAATTAATTCATTGTTCGTGTGCTGTATTTATTAAGTTTAATGAAATACATTTATTCGTTTAATCTTATAATTAATCAATATTTATTGTTTTAAATCCACCTAACTTTTGTCAAAAAAAGAAATTTATTTGCATTTGATTTGCGAGAAAACCATTCAGTTGTGTATTTAGACGACGCGATGCTATCATTTGTAACAATTATTAAAGTGATAAAATATTTTTTTTAAATAATATTCTAGATTAAATTTTCGCGGAAAACAATAGCAGTTCTAAATTTCAAGCAAAAGCAGACGATCAAGTCTAAAAACTTTATTTCCAATTTTATTCTGATCCTTTCCAATAGTAGATGTTTTATTTCAACTTTGCCTATGTGATAAATTTAATATCATAACGCCATCTGCCAAAGTTTGTAAGGGATGAAATACCAGAACAACAACCGGTGCCTGTAGCAAAAATCAATTATATGAATCTCAATAGCAAAATGACGTATCTCAACTTATCTGATGAGAGCGAACTCTCACTACATCCAATAGTTACACATGCGCAATAGATTTTATACCGGATCTGTTTAAATATTCCACTCTTAATAGTACTGGCCTATTAGCTCAGGGGGTTAGAGCGTCGTGCTAATAACGCGAAGGTCGTGAGTTCGAACCTCACATGGGCCAACAACATTTTTAATGATGTCAAATATCTTGTCAGAACAAGACTGGTAGCGTTTGAATGGCTTTATGGATACGGAAATGGAAATTTAAATTCTCCTGATACTTTTACGACAAGTAATCAAAAGTATTTATGTACTTTCCTACACCTACCACTATATTTTTAAAATAAGGGCCCAACGAAAATTTTTCGATGTTACGTTGTTATTATTGACACACTCGCAATCTTCATACGATTTTAGACCTTTTACGATTACTAGTTAAATTCAATGTGTCTGTTTTCCGTGAATTTCATTAAAAAATTATACCTACACATGTTATCCTGAAAATTACGAGCACAACGAAAAATAAAGCAGATCAAAACGTCGAGCCGTTTCGAAAGATTCATCATAGATCATGTGCTAAATGATTTACAATTAGAGTCAAAGTTGGATGATTAAGTTTGAGTTCAAGGCCCTTCACTCAGAGCAAAACTCTTGTTGAGTTTGGATGATTATTATTTTAACTACATATCTTTATCTGACGCAGGGTAACCGTGCTTTCCTTTTATAGGACAGTCGTTAACGACTTCGTCCTCATGTCTCAGACAATTCTTATTGTGATGTCCATGGGTTGTTGTAAACATTCAACAATAGTTGAACTGTAATATATATCATATAGTCTAAACCCCGCCTATTTCCGCCGTGAAGCAGTAATGCGTTTCGGTTCGAAGGGTGGGGTAGCCGTTGTAACTATACTGAGACCTTAGAACTTATATCTCGAGGTGGGTGGCGCATTTACGTTGTAGATGTCTACAACGTAAGACTGTCTGGGCTCCAGTAACCACTTAACACCAGGTGGGCTGTGAACTCGTCCATCCGTCTAAGCAATAAAAAAAAACTGTATTTACTTACATAATTTCGAAAAGACATCCTGGTACAGCCTTAACCCGCTTCCATTGATGTCTGCTTAATTTACTCGTGTCTGAAATCTGTGAAATAGTTAATTCATTCGTTAGTTTGATTTAAATACGCAAAGTTACAGGTTGAGGCGACAGTAGCCAAATAGGTGAGACGCGCAGTGAAGTCCCGGTCATGCGAATTGCTGGGTGTTATTCCAGGACTTGTCAATAATTGTGTATTTAAATCATGTTTACTAATGATGTCTTCTATGGATATCCATAACACTTGTAGTGGTTAAGTATAGGTACCACCACCTTGCCTATTTCTGACGTGAAGCCGTGACGCGTTTCGGTTTGAAGGGTGGGGCAGCAGTTGTATTGTAAAAACTGAGACCTTAGAAGTTATATCTCATGGTAGGTGGCGGCATTTACGTTACCGTGGGCCATGAACCCATTCCCCACTTATTGCTTTGATGGGTATCTAAGCATAAAATAAATAAATAAGATGCAGGTATCGCCGCAAATTTGGCCGTAAAGCGGTCACACGCTGATCATTTGCGAAACTATTATTCGACTACGCTAAATCTCTTCGATAGCTTCTAAACAAAAGAAAATGATTATGTAATTAATAAAATAATATTACTAGAAAATGCTTTTAAAATACATTTTTACTTAAGACGGTTTTTGTGACATAACTATTTACGTATCCTAAATAAATTAAATTAGATGAACATTTTCTCTATTTTATCTAGATTGAAATATTTTAAAGTCTATTTACAGAACAATATAAATCAATAGTTAATAGCTTAATCTTTACAACTGGTTTTCAGTACGCTATTATTTTCGGAACAAATGCTCTGTTGCCCCTGCAAATCTGAGACGGGTTTGCGAGTCATGCCATAAAAATATAACGTTGACATCTTGAGTTGAACCGTCACACAATACTGTCTTATTCAAAACAGTTATGTGATTCTAATGAAAAATATATCTCAATGTACTTCAAAGTACTTCATATTTTTTTTATTGCTCTGTTGGGTACGACGAGCTCACAGCCCACCTGGTGTTAAGTGGTTACTGGTGCCCACAGATATCTACAACGTAAATGCGCCACCCACTTTGAGATATAAGGTCTCAGTATAGTTACAACGGCGGCCCCGCCCTTCAAGCCGAAACGCCGGAAACGCATTACTGCTTCACGGCAGAAATGGCAGGGTGGTGGTACCTACCCGCGCGAACTCACAAGAGGTCCTACCACCAGTAAACATTTATTATTTATTTATTTATTATTAAGATGCACCAGCAGTTACGCCATTAAAATGCAAGAAAAATATTAGGCGTACAGTAAGTGTGTGTCTTCATCAATCTAAACACAACACGTGGTTTAAGATAGATTATGTATAAATTGTCCGATGATTGACCCGTCACAAGAGGGTGAGGCAGTTTCTCCCTATGACGGGTCGATTAACTTGAAATAAACCAAGGGACGTGGAAGAGGAATCGTAAGTGTTAAATATGGCGTCTGCACATCGACGGCACCAAAAAAATATATAATTAAAACTATTTTTACCAATTTTTTTTACTGAAATCAAACTTTTCGAATATTTTACACTTTTCTTGATCACGGACTACTACTATGTGACCATCAAAATTTAAACCGTAATAGTAGTTCTAATTATAAAATGAAACCAAAAGAAAATACAATTTAAAAGGTTTTTGTACTATATTTTTTTTTTGTTTATTGCTTAGATGGATGGACGAGCTCACAGCCCTCCTGGTGTTAAGTGGTTACTGGAGCCCATAGACATCTACAACGTAAATGCGCCACACACCTTGAGATATAGTTCTAAGGTCTCAGTATAGTCACAACGGCTGCCCCACCCTTCAAACCGAAACGCATTACTGCTTCACGGCAGAAATAGGCAGGATAGGAATAGAATACTAGCTATCCTATGTCACAGGTTTTAAAGCCCTACATTCGAAACTGTAAAAATCCTAGTGTATTTTTATCGAACATCTTAGTTTGACTATTTTAAGTACTTTTGAACTAAAATTCGTTTGTATTTGTTGCAAAAATCTATACATATAAATAAAATTGGAGTGTCTGTTTGTAATATTGAAATAACCGCTTTTTACTACATGCATATGAATATATATACGGTACATACACCAAAATAACATTTTTTACAATTTTTGTCTGTCTGTCTGTCTGTTTGTTACGGCTAATCTCTGGAACGGCTGGACCGATTTTCACGGGACTTTCACTGACAGGTAGCTGATGATATAAGGAGTAACTTAGGTTACTTTGTTAAGACTAGCTTCGCCCCGCGGCGTCACGGCGACAATAACCGCGGGTATCATCGCGGGACTCAACTATCAATAATAAAATTTAATGTTTCCGAAGCGAAGCGAGGGCGGGTCGCTAGTCTTCTATAAAAAGGCTTAAGAGTACCCACTCTGTTCCATTCGTGTTGTGATATGTATGTATGCTCTCAGCATCTCAATACTCGTATAGTAAAAATCATACCCGCAAATAACTAGGAATCTACGTAATTACTGTAGGTACTGAGACCAAATTACCATCCATCGCTGAGCAAATATGCTTTCCCGTTTTGAAACTAGATTAGGATAGATCTCCATGCAATCAAAATAGTACAAATCATATTTGTTCTGACAGTTAGAACAAAATAAAACTAAGGTAGGACTTTTTAAATTTTTCTTACAATACCGAAGGGGTCAGGGACAAAAGATCAACGTCCCAAGTCTTCATGCGAACCACTGTCTTAATTCCGAAGTACTAAAGATTCTATTTCCATGTGTTTTATTTACGAATTGTCCTTAAAGATGTTTTACGGCTAGAAATAAATCAGCACCGCAGCTATTGCACTGATCCGACGTGTTATAGTAAGCTATTTACGGCCCTAAATAAAATCCGTATGGTCATAATGTACCGCTTCAATGAAAAATGTTTGATCTATATCGCTATGATATGACATCATAACAATTACTAAACATGGATTCAGCGCGTTGCCAAAGTGTAGAGTAGCAGTTTTCCGAACGATTCATTAAGCTATTATTGAATGTAGTTTGAATAGTTGAATATGGTTTTAGTTTTATTTTTCACAAGTTGTGACTCACAACTAATTTGTTTACTTTTTGAGATTTTTGTAGTTTCTTAATTTTGTGTGTTTTCAAACAAAACAAAATTTAATGTCATATGTTTAACCTTATTCGTATACATATAATTTCACCATATTAATTATATTTACAATAATTAAAAAATAACTTCTATATTCAAATTTCAATAACAGAGAGAAAAAAAACTATGTAACTGGGATTCTCCAGTGTGTAGAATTACGAACGCGAATGAGAGCGAACTTAGTGCGAATTTTTTAACGTTAACGATAGCGTAAAAGTTAATTGAAATTTGTGTGGAGTTGGAACGTTTGCCTACGTTTGCCGCTAAGGGCGCAACTGCATACAAATTTGAGTTAACTTTTACGGTATCGAAAACGTCAAAAAATTCGCACTAGGCAAACAAAAACAAGTAAATAAAACTAGACAGGACGTGTGACTTTTTTTTTATTGCCCTTGTAGAGAGACGAGCATACGGCCCACCTGATGGTGAGTGGTTACCGTCGCCCATGGACTTCAGCAATGCCAGAGGTAGAGCTAAGCCGCTGCCTACTGCAGTGCTTAATACTCTCCACAAGCCTATTTTAAAAAAGGACATGCCATAGCGCTCGGGAAACATCGTGGAGGGGAGCTCATTCCATAGCTGGATGGTGCGTGGCAAAAAAAGACCTCTGGAAACGCACTGTCGATGATCGCAGTGGCTCCAAGTGACGATATGTGAACAAGATTAAGGCTTTAATGGTGGCGCTTGGGTGAAAACTGCCAATGATTGACACAAACAGAACGAGTCTGAGGAGGCGTTTGCCATCAAGTCAACAAGATACCTACAGCTTTATTTAGATTTAACTATCAACCCGTACAATTTTAGTGTTAGGATTATGATTACTTTAAATTAACTACTTGTTTGTGAACTATGCGAAAACCTACTAAGTTAAACAAAACACTATTTCACTTAGAATTCATCCATATAGAACTCAAAGTTTCGCAACTAGACACACGCGTAATTATCTCATCTCATAGTAATAAGAAAACATAAATCGAGCTATTCGAAATATGTCGTCGGTGCAATGCCAGCGATATGTCGTACCGTTCCGACACGACAAAGGACTCAGTGTGACACTATTTAATTACGTAATATTTCAACGGGAATAGCAAATTACGGAATGAACACGTTTAAATCAAGTAATTGCCTCCTGTGATTTAGCTGGATAGTTCTTGTGAAGTATATAAGTGGTTCCAACGTCTGCCTGCTCTGATATTTTATGGGCCATCGTCAACAAAGTGAATTGATGATAAAGAGAATCTTTGTTAGTCCAATAAATAATAAGCATTATTTTCTCGTAAACCTAAAAAAACACAAAAAAATAATTAAATAATAAAAATCGTTATCTTAAGATCAACTTTCAGAGCTCAAATTTTATTAGCATCTATAATTATGGTCAACAAAAAATTTAACGGAACTGATACAATTTCTGTCAAAAAAAATGGCGACCTGTTGTCTACTCAATGAAGTAGGAAACCTATGGAAATGAAACGTCAACCAAAATTTCGTGCCACTGTGACGTCATCTGGCCACAAAACATGTCGGCTTTAGTGCTGTACAAAAGATTTCAATGTTATCAGGTTTTATCGATAAACGTTCTTGGCTCATTTTATTTTAAATATTGTTGAGTATTATTTATTTGTAGAATTTATACTTTAATGGGAAGTAAGTAGGTATATTGTTATGTGCAAATATGATATGATTTAGATGGGTGAAATCTAAGACAAGTTCGTCCTTCGAATTTGCCAAGTAAACGATATGATGATTTTTAAAAGTTGCTACACTGATTTTATAAAGTTGTCGTTTGTCGCAAAACATAAAGATATGGCGTAGTTCAAAGCCATCAGCCCATTTCTAGCATGCTAAATGTTATCGTATTTTGAGTACGTGTTTTTCTTAGACTATTACAATCTAT